CAGTCTGTCGGAGCCTCTGAAGGAATCGCGCAGCCTTCCTCCTGCTTCTGCAGCAGGTGAAAGCGACATTCCCACACACAGGGTTTTAACTTGGAGCCTGATCTGCCATTGTCCTCCAGCTGTTGCTGCCACTCCAAAGACAGCGTGCCAGTATTCCCTAAATGCTGAGCTCTGGGGCAGCGCTTGTTTTGTAATGGGGCTTGGCTGTGTTATGCTGCCTTTGAATTTCAGATACACAGCACCCTGAGGTCTTTATCATGTTCGCAGTGTCCTAAGCATGTGAGAGGTTTACTGTGGGGCGCCTGCTTCTGGTCATGTTGCACGGTTCTTCTGTTATGGAATTTTTGCCTATTGTGCCTTGCAATAGTGGCACAGTGGAAAGCTTTGCTGCCTCACAGCACTGGAGCCCCAGGTTCAATTCCTAGCGTGCCATCTGCATGGATTTCGCATGGTCTCCTTGTGGGTTTCTTCCGGATGCTCTGGTTTTCTCCCGCAGTCGAAACGCGTACTTCTGGGAAAATTCCCTGGTGTGCCTGCCTGTGTCACGTGTGCACTCTGTGATGGACTGGAGTCCTGTCCAGGGTGTATCCCGCCTTGTGCCTGTTGCTTGCCAGGACAGTCTCCAGCTCCTCCGCAATCCTGAAATGGCTGAAACGTTTAGGAAGTACTGGATCTTGCAGTGCTGGTGCTCAGTTGCTCGCATGCAGATGTAGTCTCATGCACTGTTAACATCATTTTCTGTTTCTTCTTGAAATGGTGATCATCCTAATCTATGTCCCCAGAATAAATATTTTCTGAGCTTTTCTGCCTGTCAGTTCTCCATCAGTAGAGCTGTGTGCAATGGTTATTCTTTTTTTTTTCCCCCTCTGGGAGAGAGTTAATATATCCCTGACAGCAGTGCTTAACACTTAAATCTAAAGAACAGCTGCAGGAATTTGATCAGCAGCGTGAGCAACATAATAGAAGAAACCCATTCCTGTGGCGAGTGGGAAAGAATTTTACACACAGGCACGTTTTCAGGTTTCAGTCCTGGGTAAACCTGTGTTTTAGTTCACCGATACTTGTTTAGCTGATTGGATGAGCTGATGTCTAACACAGGGGGGAAAAGATGTGCCGTTTTAAACTTCTCCTAGTCAGTCTGCACGACAGCACTGACAGCACAGTCACAACTCCTTGTCTTTCCAGACGAGCCGCTGAGACAGGTCATGGGCATGTCTGATACCGGCCCGTGTGGACACCGCCAGCGTGTAGCTCTGCTCAACAGGATCACAAGCCCCACACAGCTCGCTAAGGCTTTTCAGCCATGGCTTAGTGAAGGAAAAAGCACCGATCAGAATCTTCTTTAGGTTTCTTAATAATGTGGAACCCGTTTTCCATGAGTGATAAGAGATAAGATCACTTTATTGGCCATATACAGTTTCTTGCATTAGGAATTTGTCTTTTCACATACCCCAACTTGCTCTCCATGAGACACACAGACAGGGAGAGAGAAGCTTGGGGTTAGAGCACAGGGTCAACCACTTATACAGCACCCCTGGAGCAGTTGGGGTTAAGGGCCTTGCTCAGGGGCCCAACGGAGTAGGATTCCTCTGCCGGCCACGGGATTTGAACCGGCAACCTTCCAGCCTCAGGCGCAGATCCTTAGCCACAGAGCCACCGCTCTGCCCTGGCCGGCCAAGTCTACACAACCTCGAATGAGTGTGGCATGTTTTGGAGAGTCTCGCTTCTAATAAATTTTAGTGAACCTATTAAAACTTAAAGGATCTTATTTTAATTTGGCTACCTCAGGGTTACTGTATAGTACTTTAACTGGGATAAGTGATTGGCTATATAACTGCAAGTCAGTTCAGTGCTAGGTTACCATTAATTCAAATTTGTGTTGTGTATTGGTGTATTTGTGCAGCTGCATGTACTTGCAGAATACTGTGCATAATTTGGAAATTCTCTGAAGAACTGTCTTTAATTAGCAGCACACAGTGTGCACAGCATGCAGCTTGTAACACACTTGTAAACTGCACTGAGCCCTAAAGAAGGGATCGTTCTTCTTGTGTCCAGGTGGGATAGCTTGCAGAGCCCCCTGTGGAGCTAGGAACGCTGGGAGTTAGCTGCTTGTCTCGTTCCATTTGGCGGAGTATGACATCATCCCGACGGGTCTCCCTGGGGGGGGTGGCGCTTCACTCAGCGGGAAGGGGAGTGATGTCATAGGGACTGGTGCTGTCCTGCCGTCACAGGGAGGAGCGCAGAGGACAAGAGGGGCTGGCAAAGTCAGTTCTGCCCTGCTCCTCGTGCAGCTGCAGCATGGGGTCGGACCCCTCGGTGAAGGACATTCTCAATGGAAGTCTCCAGATCTAATTTTAATAACACAGGGTTGTAACACAGATATTGTTGCAGTGAGCAATGCCACCTGGGTGTATTTCTCTAGTGCCCTAAATAAGACATGTAATTCAGTTAGGGGCTGTCGTTTGCCATTTAAGCAGTAGATGCATTGCAAATAAAATTACAAACCTGAACCCTCCATCCTCTGGTTCAGTAGAATATGGAGACTTGTTCTGCTAATGTGGCACACCGCTGTCCTGTAGGTCCCGTTTTGATGCTTGAATTTGTATTGATTGCTCTGTGGGAATGAGGCCAGTCCCTTCATCTTTCACTAGATCTGTGCGTTTGCACATTTTTTTGATGCGTGCGTCAAGAACGAATTTCAGTTTAAGGCGACGCGTGGGAAGTTTGAGTGCACTCGGGAAAACGGTCTTGTCTTGCTTTCTTAACAGTTGGTCTTCCGATATTTTAATCATTTGAATTACATTCTGCTTTGGGTAATTTAACACAGGTTCAAGCGGTACCAGTGTTCTGTATCAGACTTGTAAATTAGGAATGGATTCTTTTCATTTAAATGTTATTAATTTCCTAGCTAATGTTTGTTCAATAGATGCCAAAAGGGAGACTGAAAAGAATTTTACAACACCTGCAAAAAACCAATGGAAAGCATGTTTTCCATAATAAGTGTAAAAGCTACAAAAGCAAAAGTTAATTGATTGAGACTATAGAATATTATTTGGATTGATAAATACGTAGCCCATCCATCCATTTTCCAACCACTTGATCCAAATCGGGGTGGCGGTGAGCCGTAACTTCGGGCGCAAAGCAGGGTAGATCCTGGACGGGATGCCAGTCCATCACGGATAAATAAGAACTATTTAGTGCTAAATGAATATTGCACAATGATGTTCACAAAAGAAGACCTCTCTAACCCAGTGTGTGTTCTACACCAAGTTCCATTGTTATTTGGTGGGAAAAAAAATGGAGTTTCAGTGTTTTGCTATTTTCAGTGTTTCTAGCAAACCCTACAGCCTTGTTTTTCCACCTGAAGGAGTATTATTGGTTGTTATCGCTGAAGCGTTTTCTGGCTGTGTGTTGATCTTTGGAGTATACCATTAGGTGATTTAACTCCTCAGCTCCGTTTTGTAGGGGGATCATGTCTAATAATTCTTCCATCACACCAAGAGGAGCATTTTATAGCTCTCACAAATAGCAGTAACTTCAGGACTCAACTTCATTGAGATGCAGGCTTCTGATCCATTGCAAGCCTAACAAACACAGAAATGACCAGCTTTCCTTGGTTGGTTGATGGTGTTTTTATACAGCGCCTAACAGAAGAATTCAGGACCTTTAAAAGTTTTCAAATTTTGCTGGATTACAAATGATACATGCATATCTTTTTCCAGTCCTTTTTTTTTCTCCAGTATTTGTATTCTAAACTTGCATGCTCCAACACATTTTGTAAGAAAAAATTAGTTGTCAACAAATTTCTTAAAGGAAGTCAAAAACTCGTATATCCTGCTTGCATGGGTATTCGGTTCCTTGTAGGAGCGGGCAGCTGTGAATTTACACAGGTGGATATAATTGCTTCTGCCTGTCTTTCCACTGGCCTCTGCCTGTGCACCACTGAAGTAACGGTCACATTTACTGGATAAAAACCCCAGTCTGTTTTGCATTAAACCCCAAGTTTGCAATAAAAATACTGACTGGGGAGAAAGTTGTATTAGTATCATTTGTAATCCAGCAACGTTTCAAAACATTCAAGGGTCTGAATACTTTTGCAAGGAGCTGTATGTTCTGAGTGAGCTTTTTTTCTGGAAGCACCTTGTGGTCGGGGGGGAAAAAGGAGTTTAGGCACCGTGTGCTTGGCAGGCCATTAAAATATTAAAATACAGGCTTTTCTCATCCAGCAGTCAACATCATTTCATCCATTGCATTATTTCTTGTGTGATATTGTATGACACAGTTGTGACTTCTTGGATTGTGTTAACAGAATCAGGATTGTGTTAACAGAATCATTTTACTCTGTTTTTTGAAAGTCTCTCTTTCCTGAAATCACTTCTCAGTGGAAAATCAATTTTAATTGAAGCAATGTCTCATAAATTATATATATATTTTTAATTGGACAATGTAATTGAGTTAGTATTTGTCTTGGTACTTTTTCTTGGATTTTCGTAACTTTCCCTTTTTTGGTTTTGTGCCCAGAATAAAACGTGATTATTCAAAGATTTCTAATGAGTGTTTTTGCCGAGGTCCAAGTGCGATGGGGAGCAGTATGATTATATTGAGAGCAGCAAATAGAAAGAAAATCGTTCTTTTCATTGACTTGTCCATTGCAGGCTTCCTGTATTCCAGCCATGTTTGCCAGACGGCGACCAGCCCAGCTGTAGTGTGCTACAGGAGCTGTTGGTCTTGCAACGGCCTTTATTGACTTGCAGGGTTTTCGCTCAAGCAAAGGGAAACTGTATGGATCTACAGAGGGCGCCATCTAGGTGCACTACTGTGCCACTGCGTCCAACACAGGACTTCCTTGTGATCTGGAAGAGCAGAATGCTGTATGTTGACTTGGAGCCCCTGTTTCCTTCTTGTGTGAGACCAACGGGATTCTTCCAGTCTTGCACTGTGAAGGGGTTTATTTTTGGCAGCTCGTGTGAATATCTGCCCTGTTTTTTTTGCTCCTGAAGCCAGGAAGAAGCTTCTGGAGAGAGCGAAGCAGGGCGGCGCAGAGGGCTTCAAAGGGCAGCAGAGATCGTGTGACCCCGAGCACGCTGTCACTGAGATGCGGGAGTCCGAGGACGGTGAGTGTGGCTCTGCGCGTGCTGGTATACGGATTTATTTCTCGTTTCAGGACTGCTGTGTCAAATGTGCTCATTCTACACGGTAAAGAACGTTTCTGTAGCAAAGAAACAACATTGTGTTAGCTTTTCTCTGTTATGTCTACTTTCTGCATTTTGTACAAATTAACTATGCCAGAATTCATCTTGTAAAATTAAAAAGGGGGGGCTGTGTTTTTGTAATTTACCATATTAACTGTTAAGGAACTGATTCCTTAGACGTTCTCCATTTAAGACCAGTGTTGTCCTGCTGTATGTGTTCAGAGAGACTGGGTACTCTGACTTTTTCCCCCAAAGAAAATGAAAAACGGCTGTAATGCTGAGTTTGTTCATGTCTCCATAGGTCCTAAGGAGGAGGATGAAAAGCCATCCCTCGCTTCAGTGCAGCCGTCTCAGCAGACAGCCAGCCCGGAGGAGCCTGCTGACGTCGAGCAGGTCCCCATGAAGGAGGAGACCCTGCTGGCCTGTGTCCCTGAGGTGCTGGTGGAGGAAGAAGTAGAGGATGAAGGAGAAGAGGAGGAGGAGGAGGAGGAGGAAGAAGAACTAGGGAAAGCACCAGGAGATGCGCTGCCGGAGGACGGGGGCCAGGCCTCGCCGAGATCGGAGGCAGCGGAAGCCGAGGAACCTCCAGAAGCAGAGGCGAGCCCCCAAGAGTGCGAGGAGGAGGAGCGGGCAGAGAAACTCCCGCCGGAATCGCCGTCTGGATCCCCAGTTTCTAAGCTCGACCCCGACCCCGACGGCGACCCCCAGGAGTCCTTCCTGTTCCCCTGCCTGCACTGCGAGCGGCGGTTCACCACCAAGCAGGGCCTGGAACGCCACATGCACATCCACATCTCGGCCAACTGCCAGACCCACACCTTCAAGTGCCGCTACTGCGGCAAGGCCTTCGGCTCGCAGATCAACCGGAGGAGGCACGAGCGGAGGCACGAAGCCAGGCCCAAGAAGAAGCTGGGCTCGGTCTCTGGCACCGCGTCGTCTTTCAGTCCCTCTTTGCCCACGGAGAGCTCCAGCCCGGACCTCGTCTCTTCCTCTGGCAACTTCATCATCATCGGGGCCCAGAACGGCGGCGATCTCCAGGAGCCCCCGGAGGCCGGGAAGCAGAGCCCGGCGATGGAGGCGGAGCGCAGCGTGGTGCTGGACGAGAACGGGGAGCCTAAGGAGCAGCACCCGTGCAAGTACTGCAAGAAGGTGTTCGGCACCCACACCAACATGCGGCGCCACCAGCGCAGGATTCACGAGCGTCACCTTCTGCCCAAGGGCGTCCGCAGGAAAGGCATGCTTCCACAGGAGGCCCCACCCCAGCAGCCGGCGGCGCCGCCTGAAGAGTCCCCCAATGCCAGCCCTCCGCCAGTCTACACGCCAAGCGGCGACCCGGAGGACGAGGGAGACCCGGAGGAGGAGTACATGGTGGATATCTCCAGCAATATCTCGGAGAACCTGAGCCTCTACATTGACGGGAAGATCTTGTCCACCAGTGCGGTCAGCACCTGCGAAGTCATTGAGGTGGAGCCCGGCTCAGCCACGCTGTTCGGCCTTGATGCCCTGATAATCAGCCCTGACAAGGTCACCACTGCCCTTAGAGTAGAGACCGCAAGCTGTGCAGTGAAGGAGGTTCCCAATGGTGGCCAGACGACAAAGAGAAGGACTGCCACCCCACCTCTTCTCCCCAAGATCAAAACAGAAGTGGAATCAGAACTCATCACGCCTTCTTCTTCGGCCTCTTCTTCCTCTGCCTCATCCACTTCCTCTGTGGTGGGAGGGTTGTACCCTCAGGCCACAGAAACCTTGGCTTTCCCAAAGGAGAAAACGGTTTACCTTTCCCCCAAGCTGAAGCAGCTCCTGCAGACCCAGGACAGCCACAAGCCAGGCTTGACTCTGTTCACGGAGGCACACAGGCTGGGCCCCCCTTTGACTTCGGTCACCACTTTGCCAGCGGCCTCGGGGAGGTTCAAGAGGAGGACGGCTTCCCCCCCAAATTCCCCCCAGCACAGCCCTGCCATGAGAGAAACTGGGAAGACTGAGGCTGGGGCCTCTTTTGGCCTCAAAGTGCCAAAGCTGGAAAGCCATTGCAGCTCCCCTGCTTGGAGTCTGTCAAGCAGAGATGAGAGGGACACCCTGAGTCCGCAAGGCGTAGACGCTTTCAAAACCTCTCCTGTTGACTGGTCAGCTGGACGAAGTGGGGGCAGTTCCTGCAACCAGCAGCCTTTGGACCTTTCCAGCGGAGTGAACAAACGAAGTGAGGGTTCAAACAAGGGGGCAGGGGAAGCCGTGCTGGATCTGAGCATGCACAGGAAGCCTTCACCGGAGCCTGAAGTAAAAGGAGGTGCGGCGCAGTCCCTGGTGAAGAAGAAAAAGCCCAACACCAGCATGCTGGAGAAAGTGTTGATGAATGAATACGGAGGCCTGGAAGTAGCAGTGGAGGAAAACCCCGGTGTGCTGGGCAGCGCCAGTGCCCTTTCGGCTAACGACCCCTCCCTGGCTGCCTCCCCTGCCGCTCCCTCCCCTGTTTCTGAAGCACCGTCGCCTGGGTCTGTAGTACCTACCGCTCTTCACCCATCGCCACCCTCGCTGACCCCCGTTACCATGAATCCCCCGTCCCCTTCCACATCTACTTTAGCCTCACCCACGCCTCCTCCCCCGGTGCTACCAACCGCCCCCTCTCCCCTCCCAGCTCCTACTTCTCCACCACCACTGCCCCCCAGCTCCCCTACCCCGTCTTCCCTTCCAGTTCTGTCCCCTAAAAACTCTCCCAGTCCAGTGAGTTCAAGTCCCGGGAATCCCTCACCTTCTCCGTTAGATCCCTCTCTTGGTTTTGTAGACTCTCTGCCAGTGGTGGTGAATCCGGACTCCGGGCCTGTAGATCCCGATGTTAATCCTCCAGAACACTCTGCAACGTCAGCAGGTCCTGCACCGCCTGCAGATGTTTCCATAAGCCAAGTAGAAATTGTCCCTTCCAAAGTGGATTCCTTGATGCCCTCTGAGGAGCTGTCGCTTACCAGTGAAGATCCCTCTGGTACTGAAAGTGATTCTACAGTCGATCTTCCCAATGATCTCCCTAGCATCACAGAAACTGAATCCCCTTCTCCATCACTGCACTTACAGCACTCTGTGGGTTTAGAACCATCCCCAGCAACAGTTGAACAGAACCCTATGGAATCTTCAGTGGGTGAGGCTGCAGTACCAGAACAAAATGTAGAGCCGGAGGAGCATAAGCTCGCATTGTCCCCCCTTGCTCCTCCACCCTTGGACCCACCTGTTCTTGTAGCTTCTGTTCCAAACCCACCCCTTTCTGCGAGTTCCCCACATCCCGTGCCACCAGAGAGTCCACCTCCTCTAGCTTTGCCTCCTTCTCCCTTTTCTTTTGCCATCAAAGAAGAAACCCTGGAGGAAGACAAGCCTCTGGAGGCATCTGCCATCCCTGCTGCTGATCTCTCTTCTTCTCCTCCTCCTCCTCCTCCTCCTGGTGCTGGTGATCTACAGACGTCCTCTGATCAGGAGGAGCCTCAACAGGAGACTTTCTGCAAGAACTTTGTGTGTAACGTGTGCGACGAGCCCTTTCCCTCCATAAAGGAGCTGAGTCGCCATATTGTGGGGCACGCAGAGGAGTGGCCGTTCAAGTGCGAGTTCTGTGTCCAGCTCTTCAGGGATGCAGAGGCTCTGCTGGAGCACCGTTCCACCCTGCATGGTGTGGGCAGGATCTATGTGTGTTCCACATGCGCCAAGGAGTTTGCCTTTCTTTGCAACCTGAAGCAGCACCAGAAGGACCTCCATCCTGGTCAAGACTGCATGCACACAGAAGTGGAGAACGGCAAGCTGAGGCCGCAAAACTACACGGACCCAGCCCGGGCCAGTCTGGAGCCATCCCCCTCCACCACTGCCACTGAGACCTCTGCTGAAGGCAGCACCCTGTCTTCGCAAGATAACCCTGAGGCTCTGAAAGCAGAAGAGCTGGAAGAGGAAGAGGAGGATGATCTTGATGACTCCACCGAAGAGCTCTACACTACAATAAAGATCATGGCTTCTGGAGGGGGCAAACCCAAAGGCCCAGATGTGCGTCTGGGCATCAACCAACACTACCCAAGCTTCAAGCCACCCCCGTTCCCCTACCACAACCGTACACCTGCTGGCTCAGTGGCCTCCGCCACCAACTTCACCACTCACAACATCCCTCAGACCTTCAGCACGGCCATCCGTTGCACAAAGTGCGGCAAAAGCTTTGACAACATGCCCGAGCTGCACAAGCACATCCTGGCCTGCGCGAATGCCAGTGACAAGAAACGCTACACCCCCAAGAAGAACCCCATCCCCCTCAAGCAGATTGTGAAGCCCCAGAACGGAGTGTTGTCGGCAGTGATGGGGACCAACGCCTCTGGGCAGAATGCCTTCCGGAGGATGGGCCAACCCAAGAGGCTCAACTTCAGCCAGGAGCCGTCTGCCAAGATGAAGCTGAACGCTCTGAACAAGAAGAAGAACCAGCTCGTCCAGAAGGCCATCTCCCAGAAAAACAAGATAGCCGCCAGCGCGAAGAAGGCCTCGAGCCTGGGCCAGGAAGAGCAGGAGATGCACATCTGCCCTCACTGCAACCGGGAGTTCACCTACCTGGGCAGCCTCAACAAACACGTGGCGGTCAGCTGCCCTAGGAAGCCCCCTTCCAAGAAGGTCAAGAAAGGCAGCAGTGGCGGCCTCTCCTCCCAGGACAAGAATGGGAACCTTCGCCGGCGGACGGCGGACTCCGAAATCAAGCAGCAGGGCTCGCAGGCAAAGCTGGGGAAGACCAGGGCCCGCACTTCTGGGCCTACGGCACCTGCCGCCGTGCCCTCCAAGCCGCCGCCCGGCAAAGTCAAGGCGGCCCCCGCCCAGGCCCAGGCCCAGGCCCAGGCCCAGGCCCGGCCCAAGAGGCCTGCCCCCTTCCCGGCCGCTTCCGTCACCTACGCCAAGAAGAGCAGGCCGGCGCTCAAGGGGAGTCCCCAGCAGCAGCAGCAGCCGCCGCCGCCGCAGCAGCCGCCCGCGCCCCCGCCCGCGCCCTCCACGCACCCCGCGCCGCGCCCGGCCGTGAGGATGCAGCGCGGGGGAAAGGAGCTGCCGCCCAAGAAGGTGCCGGAAGCCAAGCTCCCGCTGCCGCCCCAGCCGCCCCAGCCGCCGCCGCCGCCGCCCAAGAAGGAGGAGCGCTTCTCTGTGAAGACGCGGGAGAGAGTCGGCGGGCCGGTCACCCGCAGTTTACAGCTGGTCAGCAGCACTGCTCAAGCCGAAGGCAAGACTGATGAGCTGTCCAGCCTGGAGTCCAGGGAGCCGCAGGTGAGTCCGGCACGGAGCGCGCGGTCCCCGTCTCCTGGTGCTCTCCGGGGCTCATCGCCGGGCGCCCCAGCCCTGGCTCCGGGGACGACACTCCGACAGGAGTGCGCAAAGGCGAATTTGTCAAGATACAAGATGCCGCCCTGCGAGTCTTTTTTATTAATGAAGACATGCAGAAAGAGCCTTGATTAATTAAATTATACAGCTCGTTTGTCTGTTCTTCCAGCCAGCAGTCTTCCCTCGTGCAGCTCCGCGCCCTGTTCGTCTGAATTCATTCGATCTTTACGACGGTGGTAGCTGGATGATAGATGGGTGCAGAAAAAATCTTTCTGCTTCCGCGCCTTGATTTTTTTTTTCCGTGGCTGCAAATGTTAAGTCTAAAAAATATTTGGACTATTTATGCTATTTCAGATCTTTTTTCCCCCCAAAGGGGCAAAAAAAGGGAGCGGCTTTAGTCCTCAAAAAATCTTGAAACAATTTGAAACCTGTTTTAATATCTGTGCTGAAAGTTTTCCTGGAGAGCCCCACACCTGCTAGTTTTCATTACATCATAGATCTTCGCTTAATCCTCAGTTGAACTAACAGCTTAATTGGAGCCCTGGCACATTATTTACTACTCAGTCAAAGCTCTTAAGTTACTTGTGAAATGCAGTAGTTCAAAATGGCAACTGGGCTTATTTGGGATCTGAAAACAACTGAAGAGGTCACATGAATGCTGCTGACCGGTCCTGGTCAGTTATGTAACCAAACTCCGCTAAAGCAACAACCAGCAGGTGTGAAGCTCCTCAAATCCAGACCTGGGAACCCCTGACAAGTACCGCATGTTTGCTTAGCTACCTGTTTTTGAGGTTTGTAGTCTGCTATTTTACCCTTATTTGCCAACACACAATTCTGCTTTTCTCATAGTAGTCTGTAAATTATTATATATGTCAGTGTCCTGTAGTTAATTGGGGAAAAAAACTCAAAAGCCTGTTGACTTTACCACTGGGAAATTTTCGTGGTTTTAGTTTGACTGGTCAGTCTTTATTTTTAAAAGCTTTGTCAGGAGTACAAGAGAACTGGCATTTCTGTCCACAATGCTGTTGCCTTATATTTTAAAGGGATAAAGTACAAAACTTCAGATTCTCCAAATACTTGAGAAGTACAAACCCCCTTGATAGGGTGTGGTAAAGGCGCTTTGTGTCAGGGCCTCGTTAACGCCCCTGTCCTTCTCTGTGCAGGAACACGTGTTAAAGTTGGTGAAGTAGAGCAGCAGGTGCTTGCCTGGCGAGGGAGGTGGGGTGTCGGCGAGGAGACGGGCGCACGGCTCTGGGCAGAGGGGGCGGGAGACCAGCCCAGGCCTCTGCAGCTCGGCTCTCCTTCCGCAAAGCTCTTCGGGAGCTGCCGGCCACAGGACTTCCACAGGGACAGGTGGGCCACTACAGACGGACGCAAGGGGCCGTATCTGCGAGTCTGTGGTGTCCCGGCGAGGCGAGGAAGAGCGAGGAACCTGAAAGAAAGCTTTGGCTCGTCAGACTGGCCGGAGCTTTCCCACAATGCACCACCAGGGGGACACTTCCTGTGGTCGGATGTTTGCATTGCAAAAAAAAAATAATTTATAGAAATGTATATGTATAAATACACAGTTTGCATTAACCGACCCACTGGACTGGAAGTCGGGTCACAAAAGTTTTAATCATTGACACGCTGCACATGGCAATCAGCTTTCAGTTGTACACAAAGCCGGCCTGTCCTGCCGTTTGTGTTTCACAGATTATTTTGTTTCCTGTTTCGGTTTGTGTCGAATCTTGAGGCTCCAACTCTTGCTAAATGCATGTGGTAAGTAAATGAGTAGACTGAACCCTTTTCGGTGTCTGTGTAACACACATTAGGTCCTGCGGTATGTTAATAATAAATGCTTTAAAATATGATTTAATACTCCAGAGGGAACGATGAACGTCATCCCGAATCGTGTTAAGGATTGTTTTTTATGTTTAGGGTTAAGGGCGAACCCTCCTCATAACTCCCATGGTAGACCCCTGGGGTTTGGGACACGTGTTGGAGGTGTGGTAGCAGGAACAGAGCCATGTGTGGGAATAAACTGAAGAACCGCTGTCCTCCATCACTGCCAGTTAGCCTGCCCTTGACTGAGGTTGGTCGGTATCCCCAAAGTCCCCCCCTTTCCGTACTTGTTCAGTAGGCTGTTTGTGACCGTGTCGTTTCTGGCTGGACTGGTCAGTCAGGTCAGAAACGCCCCGTCCACTTGCCTTTGAGACCCCTGTTCAAGCAGCTGCTTCTCGCCAACGGCTGGCGGTCCACAAGACCCCCTTTCACTGCGTGTTTTTCACATGCCTGGGAGCTACTGAACGTCTCGGGAAAACGGGCAGGATGTGGACACCAGGGTGGTCTGTAAATTGCAAAAAAACATTTTAGCAGGCTGCTGCTGTTCCGGGTAAGTGAAGGGCTTTCTAAGTTGCCAAATCAGCAGTAGTCCAGTATTTTGCAGCTGATGGGTTTTGATTTCATTTGTTTAAGGGTGTGAAAACGAATCAACATTTCCACCCCTCCCCACCTCAGGGTTCTCCTCTGTGGTCACACTAGCAGTTTCACTTTTGGCAGGTTAGCAGCCAGCGCCAGATGACAGTGACAGTGCCAGATCAGGGCATCGTTAGTGATTCCGAAGAACTGAAATCGACTGGTTTGGAGCCATTTCTTCTGCGTTACTCTTGCCCATCTGCGCCATTCACGACCACTTGTCATTTGAAAAGGGGTTTAAAAACCTTTTTCCCCAGACATTTGCATTTGTCCCGTGACCATGTGTATATCTTTGCCTAGATAGCTTACGCAGTGCATGGGTTTTGTTTTGTCTTGTTTGGTGCAGCATGATCTGATCCTTGGTTGTTATGTCCTGGATAAAAAGTAAATGATTATATAACTGTTGCAATGAGCCTGACTGGTCAGTATCTGGGGCCTTTGTCCAGTCCCTTGTTTTTCCTGAAAACGGTTAGATCCTTTTTTTTAATATTGTTTGATCCCTGTTCTGTCTAATGGGCGTTTTACGGATCCGATGAGAAGCAGGTCCTGTAGTCGAGCCTGCAGTCTTTCAAGCTCGTCTTTCTCAGATGCAAAAGCACCTGTGCTGTCATGGGGACAGAAGTCTAATAGTTTGTCACTTAGTGTCTGTTATTCTTCTATGAACACAACGATGTGGCCTCCTTCAGTTGGCTGTATCCTCAAGCCTGCAGTTGTCATTGGATTGCTTCCAGCAAAGCTAAGCATGAGATTCACAACATTTCTTTTAAAGCTGAAATCTGTACTGCGTCATTTGCCTCTTACTGGTTTCTTGGAAGTTGAGATTCTGGGTGGAATTTAAGGAGATGGGAATATTGGCGTCATTTCCATTGGCAGCCAGCAAGTCGGGTGTGTCTCAGCGGCTCCCTGCCTTGACTCCCGAGCCGTCTGTGTTTGCTGCAGTGCAGTTTCTGTGACCTGGCGGTGCCGATCAGGGATCTGTGTGAGCGCTTGTGGCACTTTTTTGCACTTTTTTTTTATTGTGTTTTTGACCAGGAGAAAGTGCGTCGGGTGACACCACTCCCAAGGTTGAGTAGCAGAGCCTTTCCTTGTTTCATTTCTGTGCAGCCGCAGGGAGAGGTGAGAAGTGGAAGGCCTCGTGGAATACTCTGCAATTGCAGAAGAATAAAACAAAATTCCCCAAGGAGAGAACATTGAGCTGAATTGTGCTGTATAGAAACTCTTAATGAACAGTTCCGTTAATAAAAGACGGACTCTCAATTGAGCTAAAGGAACATACTGCAGTGATCTAATGCAATAGGCATCCGAGATCTGAAGAGCGAGCACTTAATATTAGTTGCACTGCGCCGATGCAGCTGAAGTGATGGAGGGCGGCTCGGGATCTCTTCAGAGGGGTATTTATTATTTGGAAGGGTTTGCATCATGAGAAAAGGGTAAAGCAATTTTTTTTTAGAAAAACAACATCCTTTTTGTTCCCAACACAGAAGAATCTACCTCTATGAAACGTTTCGGTTGGCGGAGTTTTCTTTGCGTTCTGCTGTAGTGAAATCTGTCGCTTGGTCACTGTTTCTATACTGTATCATTCCTGTTTTGTTACAGAACTGTAAGGAGGGTGAGGGGGGGGCATGTTAAGTGGGAAGAGAGGAGTAATGTATAAAGTTCTTGTAGCCTGTGTAAGAGTAATAAAATAATTCAAATATATATTTAAAAATAATTTAAATTATGTTTCTCTTTGGATATTTTCTGTTGTATATGATTTACGTTGCTGCATTAATTCTTTCCTGATTTTTTTTTGTTTTTCTTTTTCCCCCTCTTCCGGGGGTTTGTGAAATGGAGAATGTTGTTTCAAATGTTTGCCGATTAACACAGAAAAGGAAACAAAAAAAAAAATCCCTATTGTTAAATGCTGACGTAATACAGATTGTTCTAATTGAAATATTAAAGACTTTTTCAATTTGAGACGCTTTCGTCTTCGTTCGTTTCGGCTGTGCTTGCTGCCGTTTCAGGGATAGTCACTTACCTATAAAAGAATTGGAATATCTTGTTCTTTAAAAATGGATGGTTTTGTTTGGGAGTGTGAGTGGATGTGTTGTGTGCTGAAGTCTTTCACCTCAGTTCCTGATAGGTTGCTCCAGTGGGGGCCAATTGACGTCTTAGGACAACCTAGCAAACATAGTGGATTAAACACGAGTAAGGTTACAAATGAGAAGGCTTGGTTCATTTTACTTGATTATTTGCAAGATGGTTAATGATCCAGGAGTCCCTTAAGGAATCATTTGGAGTTGCAACCACATGGCTTGAGAGCTTGTTTCAAATTCCTGCCACTCTTTTTGAAAAGAGGTCAACCCTGTTTATGGTCATCAGTTATCCCGGACCTAATGTCTGCCTGAGATGTGTGCTGGGCTGTGGTATCGTTGCTGTGCTTTTCCACTGGTTTTAACTTGGTGCCGTTCTAGATGTAGGAAACCAGAGTGAATCCCTCCTTTCCATTTTCTCTGTCCCAGTCCAAAATCATCGATTTTCCTTAATTTTTACTATGTTTCTTTGAAAGGGGCAGCGAGTGAGATTTGAACTTGCATCTCTGGATTCTGTCGTGCTTTGCTGTGGAGTGTTTTGGTGTCTTTGCGCACCAGCATTGGGCACTATTGTTTAAAATATTACTGCAGAATAACATGATCTCCCGTATCCCAACATGTTGTTTTACAAAGAAGCATCTCTCCTGTCTGATGCTGAAACCAAACTGTTTTAATCAGAGAATCCCACCCTTCACACTAAAATGTAATAGGATGGAACAGGTTGTACAAGTGGTAAAATCTGAGAAAGGCCAAACCTGTTTAGATGTGTTGTTGATCTTCTGGATGAGCCCTTAACCTCATCTTTCACTAGATATCCTCTGTTCATACCTCACTTCCAATGTGGCTGTAGTTTTAGGTGGTCTGGTAATGTACTGTGGGTATGAACATGTTGGAGCCCACCTCTCAAAAGTGACCTGCTGCACTGTCACTTCACTGTTCTCCTTCCACGGGTCTGGCTCACAAGATTGACCACTGAACTGACTGCTGATATGTGTTGTACAGTAATGCAGTTCCATCCTTCTGCACATCCAGTGCTGTAGCATCTGAAAAAGATCATTTGTGCTTCTGAAAATGGAGTAGAAGGATCCTGCTGGAATCGCTCAAAACAACTCGCTGATCGCGGGCCCCAAGGCGACAGTGGTGATTGCACCGAAACAGCCGTCTGTAATCCAGAAATCCCCTCTTGTCCCGTCTGTGGTCTCGGTGAAGCCGCTGAGCCTGGAGTAGCCGCAGGATCCTGCTCCTGTGCGTTTCCTGTCTCCAGGGTTTGCCAGCAGAGGCATCCATCATCCTGGCAGCCGTTTCCCTTTTTCGGTGCCGTGTTGAATCCCAGGCTGGAGAGCGATCAGCCGGGAAGGGAATGGTATGAGGGTTCAGTTCTGGATTGTGTATTGGATAAATATATGGTGCGAATGCAGTACAATATGTCATACTGGTGGTAGACAAAAGAAACAGCTGGGTGAATGAAGGACACCAAGGTCTACCGTATGTACCCGAATATAAGCTGCACAGGAAATTGGGACCGTGGAAACTGGAAAAATAGAACTTTTCAAAGCAGAAGGTACGTTTCTGAATCAAAATGGTTGAAATGGGGAAAAAAGTCTCCTTTTAAATAAAGGAAAATAGAGAGGAGTTTAAAAAACAAGAATGTACCTCATGTCTTAATCTAAAACTCTTCTTGCTGCCCTTTTCAAGTGAGATTTACTTCACTCCTCTCCATCTTCTTATGTTCCCCTCGTACAGACTCCAGACTGCCTTCCAGCCTGAACATTCAGAACAGGCGCCGTCCTTCGGATGAGATGTAAAACCGAGGTCCTGACTCTCTGTGGTCATTAAAAATCCCAGGGTGTTTCACGAAAAGAGTAGGAGTATAACCCCGGTGTCCTGGCCAAATTTCCCCCTAGCCTTTACCCATCATGGCCTCCTAATAATCCCCATCTCTGAACTGGCTTCATCACTCTGCTCTCCTCCCAAATGAGAGCTGGTGTGTGGTGAGCGATCTGGCGCTCTGTCATTCGCATCATCCAGGTGGGGCTGCACACTGGTGGTGGTGGAGGGGAGTCCCCATTACCTGTAAAGGGCGGAGTGGTGGCTCTGTGTCTAAGGATCTGCGCCTGTGACTGGAAGGTTGCAGGATCAAATCCCACGGCCGGCAGAGGAATCCTACTCCGTTGGGCGCCTGAGCAAGGCCCTTAACCCTAACTGCTCCAGGGGTGCTGTACAATGGCTGACCCTGTGCTCTGACCCCAAGCTTCTCTCCCTGTCTGTATGTCTGTCTCCGTGGAGAAAAAAAAGCTGGGGTATGCGAAAAGACTAATTCCTAATGTAAGAATAAAGAATAAAGGCAATAAAGAAACATTAAAACATTAACATTAACATTAAAGCGCTTTGAGTGGAGTGTCCAGAAAAGTGCTATATAAGTGTAAGCAATTATCATTGTTATTTTCTTTCTACCAGGTTATGTTGAGCTGGAGTACAGCAGCCTCTGAGCCTGAGACACGGAGCTTCTCTCGCTACAATGCTACTACGGATGGTGTACCATCTGAGTATTTTTCAAAGAATGTCGCCCGCAAAAGAGCTGCATTTACACATGTGGCCACAAGAGGGACCTAACTACCCTGAATGCGATCTACAAGAATCTTGGTACTGTGTTCTGGCAGTACGTGTCAGGTACTTGATCATCAAGCTAATTACAAACTTCTTAGAAACAGTATAGTATTAATATGTCGAAACTATTAGGAACAAGAGATAAAGGTTGGGGCGCCTGGAAGTGACTGATAGTTTCAAGAACAGCCATGAAAAATACAAATGTGAAGCACAAGGTCCTGTCCATTCAGGGTGAGGAAGTGCTGAGTGATTAATGTGAACGATGTTCGTAATTCTAATGCTTCAGGGAAGAAGGATAAAAGAGCCTGTGCAAGTCCTAGGATGCTATTTTATATTCTTGACCTGACCAGACACAAAAAGAACAAACACATCTCTCAATCCCATGATAAATTAGATAACCAAAGTTGTGAAAGGGATGATGGTCAGGTAATTTACTAAACGGATATTCCTGAAACAGCTCCAGTGTTCAGATGGCCTGCTTTGATACATCATCTTTAATGAGATGGATGCTTCAGATGGAAGCAGATATAAAAGTCATCTCTCTAAAAAATAAGTATATGTTGTTCTGACCAGTAGATGTCCTCAGTACACTGAAGAACCGGAAGTATAAAATTTTCTTCCAGTCAGGAATGTGGAGACATTGAACGACAGTCCCACAGTATTTTCTGCACAACCTGTTGTCCAGCACTTCTCAATAATAGCATGCTTCCCCAAAACGTCTCCATTTTAAAAGAAGCAAGACCAGAATCGGTTGTTTAATATTATTTTTTTGTGCCTCTGTTTCATTCACATTTTATACACATGAATCTCTCTTTGAATTCAGTGCTGCAATGCACTGTAAATGATCACCTCATCTGTGATCTCTGTCCATCTGTCTTTATTAATCCATTTCTCATTTATCCATGAATGTTAATGACCTTTTCATCTAGGTGCAGTACTACAGGAGACCTTTTTTTTACAACTCCTCTTTATGGTCTTGTCACTTTTTTTGTGCAGAAGATCAGAAGGGGTTGTAAAGCTGTGATTGGATGATGAACTCATTAATATCTGTAACCCTAATGCATTGCAGCTGCTGCTCTTAATTCTCATGAGATGACAATTTTACCAACTCAGTAACACCATTTCAGTAGGGGAGTCAAATTCTAAGCTTTCACAAGCCCTAAAAGAATCCGTAAAACACAGATGCAGTTTCTTTTCAAAAACTGCTTTGGGAACAAATTGATTCATCTGCAAAAGTTTGCAGGATCTGAGGAGAACATGCGTCGTCGTGCAGAATAAATGAGAAGCATGTTTGATGCACACTAAGGAATGCAAGTCAGTACAGCCATCAGATCCCAGCTCACTTCAGACTTGAACCCATTTTGGTGGGTAGCAGAAGAGACTGCAGGGACCCAGAAGAATATCCTGAAGGCAGGAATAGGATAGGAACCGGTAGTGAGTTATCACTTCCCGAAGTTTGCTGGATCTGAATGGATGAGGGTGGAATATAAGCTGGACCTCAAAAGAAGAAATGCGTTCACAGGCAGAAACTTTGGGAGGGTAAAAGAGTCGAGGTGATGAGGTCAGCATCACGCTCCAGCTGGCCTATTATCCCCAGGAGGATTAACCCCCGGTACTCATTTGGAAAGCAGGGGGAGTGGACCTGAGAGCCATCTGGAAGAAACTGAGCAAGCTCCATTGCTTGCCCCTAGGCGGGCTTGAATCCAGGACACCCTTGCTGTCTGAGCTACCATGGTTGTCTGTGTGGAGTTTGTGTGTTCTCCTGGAGTTCCTGTGGGTTTCCTCCAGGTGATCCGGTGTCCTCCCTCAGTCCAAAGACATGCTGGTGGGTTAATTGGCTTCTGGGAAAATTGGCCCCTGTTGTGAGTGTGTTGTACTCTATGTGTCTGTGATTCAAGGGTGCTTTGTGCCCCTTGTTTGCCAGCATGGGCTCCCCTGTGACCCTAAATGGGATAAAGCAGTTAGAAAATGGATGGACAGGTTACAGATATGACCCTAGCTCCCTGAAACAGAGGAACAAACAGCCACAATACGAGGCATCAGAGGGAAATGGTTTAGTATGTTCCTCCTCTCTGAGAATGTAGCTCTAAATCAGATCAGATTTTCACTTTCTCTTTCACTGGCAAACCCACAAAGGGCTCCTAAAACAAACTTGATATCTGGTGGGCACTTTGCTCTTTCAAGGAATCAGGGTTACATCTGTGAGCAGACCGTCCCTTTCATTTTGACAAGTGGCCCCAATCTGAAAACTGTACTCGAAAACATGAGCTCGGCAGTCCCACAGTGTGGAGTCTTGCAGAGGGTGTGCAGTACCATACCAAGCTGTGGAGTGGAAAAGGCATCTTTGTATCTGCACAGGGGCTCAGTCTGCCAGCCTTAAAAGTGGAACAGAAATCTAGCACCCAGGTTAGCCTTCAAGGTAAGAAGGAATCCCCTATTCTGCATCCATAGGAGCAGCTGGCACTGGGGGCCACAGGTGATAGGAGTCACAAAAAGCAACAGAGGCACAGAGTCGACTCAGTCAGGATGCTGCACAGGACTCACAGAGGTGCACTGAAGGAAGGGAAGTCATCGATGCACAAGGACACAGGGCCATGGGCTGAGGCAAGCAGTACATCGAGCACACAGTCTGGGAACTATGGGTGCACTGGCCAAGGACCTGGGGCTCAGTGGTATCAGAAGATTGGGGATCTGTTTCTGCAGAGCGCTGGATCCTCTGCAATGTGTAATGTAGGCTCAGTAATATAAATCCTTCAGCAGGTGAACAGCTGTTCCGGCAGAGGACAGCTGCTGCAGAAAGAGCTCTCTGAAGGTCTTGGTCTCCACGCCAATGACTATAGCCCATGCGTAGAAACGGGGGTGCGGTGGTTATAATTAGCACTACTGCCTCACAGCTCCAGGGTCTGGGGTCAATGGCAGGTTCACGTAAGTGTCTCACAGCGTGGAGTATACTTTCATGTCGTTGTGTGTGAATTAGAAACTCTGGTGTCCTGCTGAAGACCTGTTCATCTCTTTATTTTAAAGAAGCAAACACACGAAATCAACATGATTCTGGAGCAAATACCATATGCCTTTATTGTTGTTTTATTTTCAGAAATCCACATAGTAAAAACATAAAGGTTTCAAAGTAGAGAGTGCATCTCCCACAAACATGATTACAGTAACTTCTCCTTCAAAGATTTCTGTGCGAGAACGACACCAGAGGCCAAAATCATCTTTAGACTGGGTTGGCACACTCCCCCAGCACTTGATAATCAGCTGAAACCTGCAACATTGAAGTCGCAGTTTGCCACCATTCTCGGTACTCCTTGGATGTCATCTTCATGAAGCTCCAGAAGCTCACCTTCGTTTGCTTTGGTTTTCACTCTCCAGCTCATCTCCCCACGCTGCAGGGAGGCTTCCACCTCCGGCTCCTCTGCTGAGATTCCTGGGGAATTTCCTCCTCCTTTTTACCTTCCAACCTTGGAGCTTTCCAGCTCCCATACTGCCACAGCTCCCCTTGTTAATCCTGACACTCCGGACAATACTACGTAGCAGTCCACGTCCCGGCAGTCAACGTGTTTTAGAGTAAAAGAGTCTTGTGTGATGAAGTGACCAGTGTAAAAGTTAGAGAAATCTAAACCCCAACAGCGCGATCTGCATTCATCTGATAAGGCAGAAAAATCAAACCTTTAGATCGTTTCTCTCTGTAAGCAGCAATTTAACTTTTCTTCATGGCACCCATTACAAGTAAGATATACAGTAGAATGAAGATGCTGAAACACTTGGTGAGAGTTGCTTTCATACCCATAACTGTTCATGCTGGAAATTATTGAAAATGAAGCAGAAACAGCTGAAAGACACATTGTACACATCGGTGTTCAAGGAAAATCCCATCGTTAAGTAGAGAACTGCAGGCTTCTTCCTATGTTAAAAAGATATGAATCTTCCTAGTCATATCTTGGAACCTACTGTTACTTCCTTCCTCTGCTGAATCAGGATGGCATTACCTATGAATTCAGTTTTACATATGACTGCCTGTGATGAGATAGAGCTGGAACGACATTGTTAATTAACATGCTAGTTCTGTCAACACTTTCAAAAGTGCGCATCAAAAAAATACAAGACTAAACAATTCTATCCTTTACTTATCACTGTTAATAAAATATATAACCCTTAGAAAATAAATCACAATTTATATATTTCGACTATATATTCCAGTTCACTATATTACATTAATATATCGTCTTTATTAAAAACAATCAAACGCAAAATTTCTTATCTGTGTGAGAATTCTGTTCAGTTTACAAGTTCTGAAAGTCCTTTCAAAGACCTTGTTTAAGAGTTGTAGGCTGATGAAAGGCTGAAAAAGGTTTTGATCCAAACAGAAACAAGATATATTTACAATTGACTTCCCAAAGCCCGGATTTCTTATTCATTAGAACAAAAGCCGAGTCACAACATGGACAGATTCAGGGAAATGAATCTACTTCCCAGTTTGAAAAATAAATATCAGTTTAACATTTCACTGGGTTGAAAGGATCTGTCCCTTAAACAATTTAAGCAAGTTAAATTTTTTTCGGAAACACAAACACAGTTTGATTGATTTTTTTTTTGCTTGTTCTCATGGTCAAGAAGAGGTTTATCACTTCAAAAAAAAACAGTCTCAAGTTGCTTCTTTACAGTAAGAGAGGTCATCTGTTCCCCCCAGGCTGCAACAGGAGGTTTGAGACTGGTTGAGTTAGCTGAGTTAAGCCCCTCTGCAGGCCTGGAGACCAGTTCTGAGACTCAGCGTCACTTTTCCCTTAAACCTTTGAGCTCCACAGGGCTGTGGGAAACAGGATATAGGACACTGACCACAGCAGGTAGTAAATGCAAGTCAGGAAGGAAGATACACAAAAAACCATGAAAACTCCTGTGAAGAAATGGAAAAAAACAAAAGAACTGTAGGTTAGTTCAAGGGCCGCCAAATAAAAGAGCTCTGCTCTTTAGAGGAGAGATTGCAATGTCAGATGTCATAAACACAGTCTGCTCCAGTTAGTGGGACACAAAAGGCTGGCTGAAGAACGGTTTAGAAGTTCTCCTAAAAAAATCAGTTGCTGTAATCAGGAATGCACAACGCATTTTAAATATTTTTATTTAACGCATTCAAATTCTTATCTTTCGGATACCAATCAAAACCAAACCAGCATTAAAAAAAAGAAAATATTCTAATTCAATTACCATGATTGCAGCACAGTGACCGCATGTGGTGACAAAACTAGGTTCCTCCTCTCAGAGACCCAAGTGTAGCACAACCAGTTCAGCCTTGTGCATGACTCAGAAACAGGTTTTATGCCATACTGGTCTGAATTTACAATGTTTTATGGCTGATGCAGGACAGTACCTGTGTGCCTGTTGGGACTGGTAGGAAATCGGGACGCCCTTCAGGAGGAGAGTGTGGAAGACGGTACCAACCAGGGCCACAATAACAACGAAGTTTTTTATTTCTCTACTGACCTCCAGCAAAGACCATCTTCTTCCAGGTCTGGGACTCCAGCACTCTGTCGTGGGGGTAAAAGCCTTGATCTACCATGAAGAGGATCATGGCCACAGCAGTGACTCTGAGGATGACCATGTTGCCCCCTGTCAGCAGGAAGGTGCAGGCCAGGACGGCCGAGGAGTAGATGCATGGCAAGCCCCGGTACGTAAAGGGAATTCCTGTAGAATCAATCAATCAATCAATCAACTAGCTGACCACTATTCCATCCAATCAATTAACCAATCTACCAACTGAGCACCATCTGGCTAGTCAATTAGCCAACAAACCAATCAATGAATCAGTCAACCGACCAAGCAATCAATTCTTTCAGATTGATCTGATTTAAATTGAGGAAAAAAAACATTGATCTCCCACTGGCGGTCTTAACCTTTTTTCGTCCAGGACCCAGGTTAAGTTTTGGTGTCAGCTCCGTGAGTTATGGTTCACCTCTGAGTTCATTTCTTTTTAAGTGCTTCACTGTTGTCTAAAAATGAAGTATAATCTTATTATACACAAAATAATATTAAAATTGGTCATGTACTTGAAAGGCAGCATTTCAAGTTTCCCTCTGGATGCTGAAGTTGTGGAAGTTTCATTTTTGTGTGAGGAAGCCCTGAAAAACCTGTTCCACACAAGCAGTTTGTAGAAAAAACAATTCAGAGTTGTTGTTTTTTTTCACTTTGAGCCAAAGCACACTTAGGGATTCTTTGAAAATGGCAGGGCAGCTTCTCATTGTTTTGGATAATAATAAGCTGCTCTTGAAGGTCAGCAGTACTTGAAATGTCAAAAGCCAAGTGATTTTATTCTTTCGCTTTTTTAAATGAAGATCGTACTTTTGTGAAGATGGTATTCTGGCTCATGAACAAAGTTGCCAAACCTTTGCTGCCTAATTGTTTTCAGGTTCTTTGTTAATACTTATTGCCTAATAATACCTCAATATAATCTTGTTATATTAGGCAATAACAGGTTTTGGTGCTAAAAGGCTTTTATGAAAACATGCTTGTGTAGAAGGAAATTTCAGTTTGTTAAAGAGGATTGTGCTGACCCACCTAAACGGCACAGTGACTAATTTGTAACGCCTACGTTGAGAAACCCTGATCTACCAGTATAACCTGCTACAAAGGCTCACCATAGAAGATGCAAACCACAACAATCAAACAGTACAAGGCACTGAAACCAGAGATATCCTACAGATGGTTTCATTAATACCAGTCCTAACACACAGATACACCCCTGCCAGAACTCTACAGGTGAGAATCTGCACTGAGTCAAAGAAAGAACAGAAAGGGACAGGAGGAGGGAAGCAATCAGGCAACAGGCAAACTTGAGCTACTTGGCTGGTCGGCCCCAGACTGGCGCTGTCCTTACCGCTGGAGAAGAAGCAGAGGCGGACGAAGACAGCCAGGACATAGAAGATGCACAAGAGGCTGTCCAGCAAGCTGGTCCTTGGCAAGAGCAGTGCTGTGGCGATCCCGAAGGTAGTGAAGTCTGCGAAATCATCGAGCTTGGCGCCTATACCAAAAACAAAAGCGACACTAAGAGAAACTGGCAAAACCCAGATTATTAACCCAGCACGCTTAGTCACGGGGCCTATTAAACAGCAAGCTGCCCAGGCACTGAATTTGCTTAATTGATCTTGCTTCTAGGAGAAAGGCAACTATTACACCAACATTTTTTAAAGAATAAAAAATGTTTTATATAGCATCTGTATTATTTTACGTTTGTGGATCTTGCAGCGATCTGCAACCAAAGTTTTGTGACTAGAGTCTAATTGATTAAGAATTCAATAATTTGCACAGACTCTCCCCCAGCATGGGTCATTTGGATCACTTTTACACGGTTTAGATGAAATTTTCAGACCCTGTCTGTTCTCTTCATCCTGCACCTGCAATACCACTTCATCAAGATCGCTGGGACTGCAGCACAGTAAAATGATGCCTTCTCATCATTCCAAGTGAATGCAATGGAAGAGATGGGATCAAGCCGTGACATGAAGATGGACTCTCCCTTTGAAATTGGCTGCTGAAGCAGTTAGAATGCACGTGTGGACGCTGTGAGTTTTATGCCAGCTCTGGTTTGGCTCCAGCTCTGAGAGTACTCCAGCCTTCTTTGTAAAGAAGCCTCTGTTTGGCCCCTCCCTACGTGTTCACTGAGCTAACCCCCTGCTTGAAAGGGTGGGGACAGAGCAATGGAAATTTCCACTTCGCCTGAGCACACACTGTCATCTTCCTCTGTAAACAACATTCCGGTAACTCGTGCTGGTAACTCATCTCTGGACACAGAGCTGGCAGAGTAGCAAAGCCGGCAACTCCTGCTCTGTTTGGGGATAGTAGCTAAGGGTCAAAGATTTAAGCAATTCCAGATATGTGGAGGCCCATAAGTACTGGTATTATTCACACAATCAGTCTGTAATCCTACTGGAATTAGCCTGGTTAATGGGAAAGTGACTGACCAATTGACACAAAACCCACGTACTGGGTCATGTGTCCATCAACAATGGCCACAATGGCCACAGAAATGTATGGTCAGTCATGCATTGTGGTGCACCTGCGAATGATTCATTGGGATTATTTTTAACTCGGTATGATCCAACTAAACTGCTGTCACGAAAGAGTTCTTTCCGGGCCCTATGCAGACGACGCGATCCGGGCTTGAGTGAGGAAACATTGGGGAAAAAGTCATGCAAGATCCGGGAATATGGGTGTGTCCATGGAGCGCTGGAGGTCGGGGGAGGTGTGGCCGAGGCAAACGATCCAGGGATGAGACGAAGGGGAAATCCAAAAAGCAGGGCAAGAGTCCAAAGCCAGGCGATCCATCCGAGACAGACGATTTAAAAACGGGAACCGGGTCGGGACCAGCAGGGGGCACGGGAATGGAAACAAGAAACAGAAACTAAAAGCATAACGGAGCCGGGCTCATCCAGGTCCCGGGCTCGCATGATGCGGGAACCAATGCAGAGCCCGGATTGGCGTCAGCGTCTGGCTTTTAAGGGGGAACAGAAAAGGGGCTGGAACAGGGAGCAGGTGCGGGAGATGAACAACAAACAAGGAGGGGCTGAAGCGCCCTTAAGAGGAGGGGTTTGCGATCGTGACAACTGCCAGTGTCTCTTCTCGTGTCCAGCTCGTTACATGATCATTCTGCTCGACCTCAATGGCTTTTTTTACTGCCAATATGTAGAGTTTCGCTTAGATGGAAAACCCTCTATGTTAAATAAAAAAAAAATCATTTTAACTTTGTTCTGCCACTACATGCAGAATGAGGGGAAGCACGTGTTTTCCAAAAAGATGGACTGTTGATTGTGACAGTGCTCTGTGGTACCTTGTTGTAGCAGAGCTAGTTCGGACACGGTGACGTCATCGCCCTCCCTGCGCGTGGCAGGGACCTCAGCCGCCTGGGCTGGGGGAGGTCTCCTTTAGCTCACTCGGCTGGTTCCCTGTTGCGTTACACCAGAGACCCAGGTTCACGCCCAGGTGTTGCGGGACGAACCGGCGGGGTGGAGCGGCGAGGACACCAGCTCGCGCAGAACCACAACGGTCACATTGTCACGAGGTCTGCTATAGCGTAATCAATATTGAACTACATAGGGCTCGAGTGGCATGTTTTTTGCCCAAGTGGCTTCAGTTCAAGTTTCCTCAAGGTACTCCCACCTCCCTGGATGATTGGCGTTTTGACTGCAAAAACTGAAAAAACATGTTCAACTCACCCACAGCGGAGCAGGCATTCAGTTGCCTAGCAACGGCTCCATCAGCCAGGTCCAGGAGGTAGCCAATCAGGACCAGCCAGCAGGCAGAGATCTGGTCACTGGAAATGGAAAAAAAAAAGAGGTACAAAATGTTCTGAGTGAACAAACAACTGCAGATGAAATGATCTTCAATCCAGACAACTGTATTGCTGGATTACTCAATCTGACTTTCTCCACACACGCTGGATATTCATCCAATAATATGTTCTTTACTGTTCAAATTCATAAGAATTTGTATGCATGGAAAGATGACAGATTCTTGTTTAAACATAATATTCAGTGGCAGGTTATTATATATCAATACAAACGAAAAAATAGCATCAGCAGACCTTTTTTAATCAGGTTATAAATGTTGAGTAAAGCATTATAAACTGATTTTAGCTTTATCCTGCCAGAACAGCATCAAATGTGATAGAAGGTGATCATCATTTTCACATAAAAGCTAGATTCCTGAAATTTATTTTCTAAAGGAATTACATTTACAATTGACACCACCTTTCATTTAATGATTGATTTCCTTCACTGAATTCACTGGAAAAAAAATTTTTTTGAACATTTTTCCTGTAGTGTAGGCAGATAATGGAGGAGATGCATCAAGACACCTTTAAAACTGTTTGCCAGGGTCAACTATGATAAAATCAGAATAAAGTGCTGTACAGAACTGTAGAAATATGTGACACTGTGATGAAACATTTGCACTGTAAAAGCACTGTAAACCAATTAATAAACGAAACAGAAACTTATCACAGAAGTCTTACATGCTAGCAAAAGAAACATATCTAGCTCATGTAGGAAGCATATTTGATGCCTCTTTGCAATTTTCACAAGGTGTTTCACACATGAAAGTTATACGGTTTTAAAATCCACCCACAATATTGAAAACGGTAAACAATAGCAAAAACAATAAACAATTGGAAAGGAAAGATTTTCAAGACTTTCTAAGCTTTGTTGTCACATTTTTTTTCAGTATTTTCATCTACCCATGCAACTCAGAAAGACCCTCTTATCCTGTCAGGACCTATCCCTGTTGTTACTAAACCTCCACATTGAAGTATTCACAGTACCGTCAACCATTAAGCTCCAAGAGTGGCTGGGAAAATCACTCTGTTAATGTGTTACCTCGTACAGTATACAGTACATCAAGGTCAAGATGAAACAGAAGAAAAAGAAGACTGAGCTATTCTATCTGGAAAGTGTGATCCAGAAACTTTCAACTCACCCATTTACACTGCAGAGGATGGAACTTAGACCCATGATCATGTTGGCCAAAGAGAGCACATTGGCGGCGTTCTTTCGGGCAAACTCCCTGAGCTTGACCCAGCTCTCCTGCTTGTTGAGCAGCAGCAGCTTTGCGCACTGGAAAACATCTGAGACCAAGGAAAGGCTTGAGTTAGAGGGGGAGGAAAGTGGCACGAACTGCCAGACAGGCCACAGGGGAGAGTTACTGGGAAGCCAGCGTGAGTCTTTAACTAAAGTACTTCAACTCAATGACAGAGTTGTTGACTGAAAGTTCGACATAACGCAAAATAAAAGAAGAAAAACAACTAGCCTATGTTTTACTATTTGCCACCCAGTAACCTCCATTTTCATCTTCAAAGGAGGTAAAAAGAAATCATTCACATCTACTTCCAAACTCCAAGATGCCAGGGTCATGTCTCAATTCATCTTTTTTTTCCTCTGTGATCATCTTTGCGTTCTTTGCTACCACAGAAAGCTCATGGACCTAAAAAACAGCAGGTCTTTGGTACTTAAACATTAGGATCTGATGTTCCTTGCTTGGACGTGACAGTGTATGGAGTATTTTCCCCTCAATCTTTGTTCTATGTACAATACTCCCATTCATGCGTTTTTCCCTAACATCAGTTTTGTGTTTCTGTGTTGATCGCCTCCTCACAGGCCTTCACAAAGAGACCACAGGAATCTCAGGTTATGCCACAGAACATAAACACTGTTTTTTAAGAGGGAAGCCATGTCTCTTACAGTATTTACTTCAAAGCTAGACTTTCCATTCAAGGAACAGCAAACCAACAAATTGAAGTAATAAGCATGCTGTGAACATATAAATCCCAAACAGACGTCTCTAAGAATCACATTAGTACTAGACACAGACTGCTTTCTTCGTGCAAATGAAAAGATTCTCATGCAGACAGAATCTAACTTCTATAGTGGGCCAGGCTGTCTGAAATTGCACTGATGTGCCACTGCAAGGATGAATATGTTTGCCAGTGTGACAAAGCAATTGCGTGTGCATGTATCTGTTTTTTCTGGGAACTTGAAACGGCTTTGCAAACAGGTTGAGTGCTTCTGTACATCCGCTCAAGTCTGACACAGACAAACCCCGCGGCTGGTGGCAGTTTCCTCTCAGGGGGAGGGCAGAGAAACCACTTGTCATCAGAGCTGTGGAGATCAATCCTTAACAAAGTGAGGATGTGAAAAATAATGTTAATGCTTTGGTAATAGCAACAACTGTTCTCAACATAATGTCCCACAACACTACTAATATGTTTTTACACACTACATTTTTGTAAAAGCAGCACTTCTGAACATACAGGGTAGAAAGCAGCTAATCTGTTTCCTGGTAGGTACGTCCCTTTTCAGGCCATAAAGGCCCATGGGGAAGGGGGAGCAAGGGGCAACATTTTTCTCAGACATCCGACACTGGAAGTGGAGGTGATGTGGTCACACTCCGGCCTTCCTATTACCCCCCAGAAGGATTAACCTCTGGTACTCATTTGGAAAGCAGGCTGAGTGGACCTGGGAGCCATCTGGAAGGAATTAGAGCAAGCTCCATCACCTGCCCTTACCTGGGGTTGAACCCAGGACCTTCTGAGCTTATTTCCTGGTATACTGACTATAATATAAATTATTCATCCTTCCATTTTCTAACTGCTTCTTCACATTCAGGGTTGTGGGGGAGGCCAGAGCCTGTCCTGGCAAGCAAGAGGCACAAGGCAGGGTACGGCCTGGACAGGACACCAGTCCATCACAGGGCACACATGGACACCTCAAGGGGACGTTTTCCAAGGAGCCAATTTACCTACCAGTATGTCTTTGAGCTGTGGGAGGAAACCAACACCAGCAAAGGGAGAACATCGAAACTCCACACAGACAGCACCCCAGGTCTAGACTTGAACCCAGCAATGCAAGCGGCAAGCAGTAATAATGATCACTGCACCACCATGCCACCCAATCTAAAGTACATCATACAGCATTGACATTTTTCCAAACCATCCCATGCTAAATTCCTGAGGCATAGTTTATAAAGACATGGCCCTCCGAATGCTCATGCCATTCATAAAGGGCTTTGGGAATCCGAAAACTCAAAGACCCTTTGAATTCCCAGGACAACCATTAAATGTGAGTGCTTTAGTCACATCACTTTAAGCTTTATTCAGGAAGATTTAATTAAAGAATGAAATAATTCATTCATTGCATTATGGCTTTTGAACATGGTTTTCTTCAACATGTTCTCTAATAGCAAGTAAATCATTCAGTTTGTCACAAGAAACAGCAGTTATCTTGGACAGTAATTGTTATAGCTGTTTGAACAGTTCCCTTCCTTTCATTTTTAAATGACTTTCTCCTCAACTGGGAGCTGGAAGGACTTCCATCTGGCAAAAGCCCACGCACACCGAGCCAAAAACGGCCTCACACTGTGCCTCGCAGCTTTACGAGAGAAAGAGCCTATTAATAGGCCAGTCTATTAATAATCCAGTACAGTGCTTGAAAATGACCCAGAAGCACACAGTTAGCACGAGTCTTTATTACCACCAGCCTGAATGAGGCTCATGACATTGGTCAGCACCAGCAGTTTTCACCAAGAGCACTCTTCTGATTTATCTCTCCATTTTATTTACTTATTATAAAGGTATTACATACCCCGCGTGGTCAGAAATAACTGGTCTTGACAGACAATAAGCACTGTTTATTTAAAACGATTACCTCTTTTCATCTTATTTTTGACTTTTTCCACACTGAAGATAGTTACTTTTTATCACATTACAGATGTAGCTGACCTATTTTCTTTAAAAAATTGTCCCACTTACTCCACTATTATGGAACAGGTTGTTTGCCCACACACCGCCAGGTTTGGTCACAGCGCCCCCTGGGGAAATATGGCCCAGCATTTCTGAAAGATGCATGGGTGAGTACTTTGTGTGTTTTTACACCTGCTAAAAACTGCCTATAATGCAGTCAATGGTTGTACATTTTTTAGACAAGTTTGCCAATTTGTGTGGGAGAAATCCCATCATTAATTCAACTATAATAAGCAGATGTGACAGGTTGGAGTATATATACAATAGATATCTAGATCTTCTCTCTCTGCAATACTGTAAATATACAATACTTTATTCTATCTACATCACAGTAAGGAATTTGCCTGTCAGCAGTAAGTGTCAAGTGTAAACTAGTAACTGCAGAGTTGCTCCGCAGTCTCTCCCTCACTGGACTGTCAGGTCTCAGGCGTTCACCTGCTTGGGAATATATTCTCATTTCCCGGGAAACACAACACAAAGGGTTGTTCCGGCCTGACTGACCCAGGACAACAGTTCTTGGTCATTCAAGCTCTTCCATGGGAAGAAGGCAGACTTATATACGTCACGTATTGTCACACAGCTTTGTCAAGTGCCTTGGGGCAACCTTGTTGTGAAAGATGCTATATAAAAAATCAATTGAATTGAATTGAAAAGCCAGCAGCTCCTGTGCGCAGCCAGCAGATCTGGGTGTGAGGGACCAGGTGGGATGTCCAGCTGAATGCTAACTGGCACTTTCAGAGGAAACGTACCGGTGAGGAAAAAAACAATAAATTGTCAGATTTGGTCCCATTCTCTCTAATTATGTGATCTGGAAGCGGTGCAGTTTTCTGTGCCTTTTGGAATTGGAAGTGGAACATTTTAAAATTAAAATTATGTTTAGTCTGTGAATAGACATGTGCATGAGAGGTCAAAATGACTGCAGTACGTTATTTGGAAATAATGATGCATTATTTCCTAAATCCTGACACACGTACCCAAAGCACTGACAAACATATTTCAGAAGCACAGGCCTGCAAATCATCTTAGACACTTTTGCTGTTAAGCAGTTTCTTCATGGTCTTTGACCTTGGTTTCCTTCAACTGAAGAGCTGCCATCCTGAACCAGAAGCTTCCTGTTCACGGTAGTGAGGGCAAACAGATAAGCACATTTCCATGTCCTGTTCTTTAACATTAACAACCAGAACAAGCTTACATGTCCCCCTTTCCCAGACATCTTAATGGGTTTAAGTACGTAAGGTCTATGTGTTAAGAAGGGTTAAATTCATGTTCCTACTATTCTGTTTTGCACCCTGAACTTCGCGTGATGCCATAGCCAGCCGGTCTCAAGTGATTCTTCATCTGAAAGAAAACAGTATGTGAGACACAGCACAAGCCAACATGACACTTTTAAAACAGATCTTCCTTTGCTTCTGTTGCTTTTGGTTTTTAACTGCTGCAGCAGTTGTGACCTTCCCACAATGCACTGCAACAGTGATGCAATACTGCCTTACAGGGCCGTAGAGCAGTAGGTGAAAAGATTTCATTCTCCATAATCATGGTGTAATCCCTAAACTCCTTTGTGCTGTTCCAAGGGAGGAGAGCGATGATTATTTTAATCTGTTTCTTTCTGGTCTGTTAAAGAAATGGTTAGAAATTTAAAAAAAAAAGGATATAATGAAACAGATACAGGATTCTGAAGAACAGAGCTTTGAAAGGTGACTTTTTACAATCTACTCATTTTGGATATAGGTTCAGTCTAGCACAAGCATAAAGCCATTCCACTCCACCTTTTCATGCAGATTTCGATATTACTGAAGAATTAACTGTCCTGCATAAAAATCCACTTGGCTTAGGACCACTGCAAAGGTATTTTTAAACAATTTCATGTTCACACACATCAATCACCTGATTTTCCACTGTAAATCAGGGAGACATGTTCAACATCTCAGCAAAGAATCATCACTGCTAATTTTTTGCGCTCGGCTTTTCTCTTGCAAAACCGAATGGCCGATTAGATTGTAACTGCATGGAAAATTAAAGAAAAGTTTAAAGATCCCTTTGCAACACCACTGGACTCCAATACTTTTTTCCAAAGTAAAAGCTTCTTCTGGTAGCTGTTGGTAGCCGGTACTTTTATCACCTACCTGCTGGTAAATTTCTCCAATTTTGATGCAATTTCATTCAGTGAAGGAATCATGACTCCATTCAAAAGCCCGAGAAACTGACAGGGGAAGAACCCCCCCAGCCAGATAAAAAGACAGATAAGCTCCGATCCAAAAGACCCTGGAAAGAGATCGACTTGATCTCTGAAGAGATCAACCTTTATTACAGGAGGATTGGGTCAAAGGACAAGGGAGGGTAGATCTGGCCAAGTTTTACCCTTGAGAGATGGGAGGTGTGAGCTGGGAAGGTTTTGAGCACAATGCACAAAAAACAGGGAGTTCTGAAGTGTTAATAATGAATAGAGCTGGAAATCAGACAAGCCAGTCATGGTGTCTCATACTGAGCATGACTTGTTATACTGTTTGTTTCCATGGAGACCATGGACAAGGTAACAGCGTCAGTAGTGGTTTGCTGCAGTGATGACACACTGATGACAGTTTTGAGGGAAGCAAAACTTCAGGCACAAACACACCTCCCCAAGGGAATTTCAACATGGAATAAACCATGATAAACTCCCAGGGTGCCTTCGAAAATATTCCTGCAGATCAGACGTGATTCTAATGAGCAACGTCGCAATTTCGTCAGGAGAAAATACGAACGTGGTCTTGAGCAGAATTTCCCTGTTTTCTGTGCACAGCATAAGTGGAAATAACATGAAAACTGCAATATGATTTTTCTATTTGAAGGTGCATGCATGTCTTTAATTCAGCAGTTCTACTCTTTTTTAAATTGTAGTAAATTCTTAGCAGCGTGGTTGTTCACTTCCATCTTTAGTTTGCTGACATAAGCACACAGTGAAATGCAGAAAGACCCATTTACAGTGGCTATCAAAAGTATTCACCCCCTGGGACTTTTTCACATTGAACTGTTATAATGTACAATCATAATGTATTTATTTGGGAGTTTTTGCCATTGATCAGCACAAAACAATCTATAATGTCGAATCAAAAACACAATTCTACAGATGCTCCTAAATTAATTAAAAATCTAAAACAAAACAAGTGATTGCATAAGTATTAGGTAATGTATCCAAGAAGACATATGATGTCATTTCTGCCAAAAGCGCCTCTACCAAATGACTCAAAGGGGATGAATGCTTATGCAATCAGTTATTTTCTATTTATAATTAATTTTGGAGGAGCTGTAGAATTTTGTTTTCACTTTGACTCATTATAAAGTGTTTTCTGTCATTCAATGGCAAAAACTCCCAATTAAATACATTATAATTCCATACAGAATCACAATAAAATGTAAAAAAGTCCAAGAAGGGGTGAATACTTTTGATAGCCATGGTAATTACAGAAATTGTTCCTAGTAAAGAGAAACAATGTGTTCAGTGCAAATTGCTTCATTTCAGGCAATGCATCAAAACTATAGGTAACTATAGGTAACGGTGAATAAAAGGCATTTTATCATTTAACTGATTAATACCATAGCTAAAGAAATCCTTTTCCAAGGAATTTTGGAATGAACAAGTAATTTAGAAGATGTGATGGGCTTCCAATGTTTTGAGATTAACTAATACAAAGATTATTAAGTGATAAACATAAAGTCATCATTCCCTAATAATCCTACTGGTGCTTTTCCTCATTATGCGACAATAACTAAGCCTCTTAAACCAACATCATGGTCAAGGGAAAGGATGCATGACCTTGTGTATTTTATCTGCTCTGCTTACCACTGAAAACCGACAATGCTTTAGTGTGCAGCCAGTGTTACTCTCCAGCTGGCGTTAAGTGTTTTTCATTTCCACTGGCATCATCAGAGGTGCTCTTTGTGCTTTGCTCAGGCCAAACTCTGCTCTTTGTACACCAGAATGGAGAAGTGGGGTTGGCTACTTAATCATCTGCAAAGAGCACAGCTCTGTTTGCACAGCAATCACCTTTGGTTACTTAATGCCATCTAATTAAACTTTAATCCAACCAATATTCCAACCACTTTAGACAATACAGGATCGTGGAGAAGCCAGAGCCTGTCAAAACAGGTCAGTGGGATAACTGGTTTCAATGGTTAGGTTAGATCCCAATGAATGCAACGTACGTTGAGCGATATATGTAATGCAATGTTTCTATTCACATATGTAGAGCATATTTGGCATGATTAGCCTAGCTGAGAGAATGGCAGCCCAGCAGCCACAGGGATAAGGCTGCCCAACCCTCCCCCCCCTTCACTATTGTGAGGAATGAGCCAGGGAGCTGCTGCAAGGATGCAGACGGGGAGGCAGGAGGGCCGTGAAAGAGATCTGCAGAGCGAAGACCTGGGTGCAAGGCTTACATACGTAAGCATGCAGGGTTAGGGTCTAACCTTCCTCCTGAACGATTGTTAGAAACTCCGTTTCAGTAGTGTGGCAAGATCCTAATGAACATGATAGAGGGATAAAATAGAGGCTCTGATATACAGTACACGCGATACACTTCGGGAGAAACCTCGACTCGCGTTTTGCCGACTGAGATGCAGAAGATCTGTACTAGTTTTGAAAAGAGTGACTGGAGAAGTGAACAGCGCTCACACCAGTTTAGCTAACACACTGCAGAGGTGATGGAGGATTCGGTGCTGAGCACGAGCCAAGATTCGAAAGGGCCTAACGGCGGGACTGTGCTTCTAAGGATGAATGAAAATGTCTCAACATGATTGATTGGTCTAGCTGGTTTTAAAGTGATAAGTAATTTTATCATGAACGCAGATAGGGATGTCTAAAAATAGATGACAGGTATGGCCAGCAGCATGAATTCAGTACATATACATATATCGTACAAAATTCACTAAAGCATACAAAACTCAACCAACAGAAGCTATTGACCTATAGGACAACATTGAAATCTCCAAGTTTTGTTTTTTTAATGTGTGCATTTCCCCATCGTTGCAGGGAAAGTCAGGATTTTCTGATTTTACAGAAAAATTCTCCTTTTTTTAACATCACTTTATTAGCCCTATACAATCTCTTGCATTAGGAATTAATCTTTTCACACACCCCAGCTTGCTCTCCATGAGACACAGAGACAGGGAGAGAACTTGGGGTCAGAGCGCAGGGTCAGCCACTCTACAGCACCCCTGGAGCAGCTGGGTTTAAGGGCCTTGCTCAGGGGCCCAACAGAGTAGGATTCCTCTAGCAGCTGCAGGCTGCAGGATTTGAACCAGCAACTTTCCAGCCACAGGCATAGATCCTTAGCCACAGAGCCACTGCTCCGCCCCAAAACTCATCTCGATTGCTGGATTTGAACACCTGACCTCACACTTAT